TTTTTCTGCTTTAATCAAGATGGATTTAACACTCCACCGAGCGTGTTTGTAGATCCAGTCGTTTTTGAATGATTTCAAATAATGCTCTCTTAGGAATGGCTTTTCTTCATGAAGCGGTGCTATGCTAGAACCCATCCCTTTACACAACCCACAGTCTTTGATTAGCTCCATGATGTCTAAATTGTTCTTATAATATATTGCTATCAGCAGGATCTAATGTGGTTATGGTTGAAAAGGTCATGGATTTGCCATTTTGTTTGTTCTCTTAGGAAAAAGCTGAGTTGTTGCTTGCTTGCTTGCTCTGTCAAGCAGGGCGCAGCAGTATTTAGATTCTGCAGTCGCAGAGCTCTCGAGCCAAACTCACATTTAGCGCTTTTAATTGGTTTTGGAGAGCGACTGTAAACCTCATCATAAGACAGCACCTGCCGTCCACCCCAAACTGCAGGCCTACTGTTTTCACTCCATAGTGCCTCACAGCACGCACAGGAATGTGCTAATTATTGTCAAACCCACACCCATTTTAAGATTTTAAACCTCCCTTCTCATCTGAGTTTGGTGCATTATATGATCATTGAAGTGTTTCTCTAAAACTTTCCTTGAATAGTTCTCAAAGCTTTGAAGATCTAAAACCCAGCCCGTCTGTGTTTAAGTTAGCTGTGTCAAGACGTCAACCACTATTAGATACGTTATCAGTTTTTCCATTTTACAGTGCTTTTATTATCAGGAACTTTTATTATCAGGAAGTATACCAAGCCAAACTGAGCACGTTTGAGGCTCATAAAGCTAGAACGTCTGACTGTTTATATTACCTTAAATCGATTTGCTCTGTCAACCCACTTTAGGGGTCAGGAGATACGACCCCCACTCACACGAGTGCAGCTCACTTTTCTAGTAAAGCAGTTCCACCTCACTTGGAGAGTAAATCAAAAACATCTTAATTGATCTTTAAGCTTTGCAACTTCCTTCCCCCTTCTGTTGAAATTCATCAAGGTCGTTTCCCATGATGCCAGCAGTGAGGGCTTTTAAACTAATGGCAGATGTTGTACCTTTTCCATATCAGTTTTAGAAGAAACCCAATCTTGTTTGGTCTGGTGTAGAAATGGATTGTCTTCGTAAATGGAATGACACTGATTCAGTGATGATCAATCAAACCGTTGACTGCACCCAGATGCCGTTTTCAGTCATAGTTTAGTTAATGACTGGGGGGGGGGTGTTATCGACCACAATCACAGCTCATTTAATGTAAATCGATGCTGGTTGAATGTATGATTTAATTCCACGTCTCGTCCCCACCTTTGAAAGGTGACCCAGCATGCACAATTGATTTAGAGCCGTATGAGTCTGTGTCGCCAGCCTCCCTCCAGAGGGGTTCTGACCCCCTTCAACTACACGCACGCACACACACACACACACACACACACAGACACACACACACACACACACACACACCGATGGGTGTTTAGACTAGTGTTGGCTTAATTTGTTCTGCTCATGCTGATCTGATGTCAGGATCGCTACTTTGCTAAAATTGTCCAGGACTGATTAGAGTAAGTTAACGCAGCTCTGGATAAGTGTAAAAGGATGATGTACCTGAAACGTTGAAGTTCCTGTGCTTGGAGGAGAATTCATAGGTAGCACCTTTGAGCTTGTGCTGTTGTGATGCAATACTGGAGCTCAAAGTTGACTTCAAAGCTTTTTATTGTATTTATTTTATTTTATTGTGACCCTCCTTGGGACTGATTTGCAGCAATTCTGGGCTACAAATTAATGAGATCAGTGTAGATTTCCTCAGAATTAAGTTTTTGCTTATTTAATTATTTAGTTTTTTATTTAATTATAAAGGATAGCAGATAGCAATTATACAGAGTTTTATTTTATAGTTTTTAATTATAGTTTTATGCCATGAACCATCATACTGATTACATTTAAAACGGAGGAACATTTAGGAACATTTGGTGTTGAGTCTCTGCCAGTTTAAGGTGGAGCTACCTATTTACAGATATAGGGGAGGAATTTGGTAATTGTTTTTGCATCCTGTTTTGTTCCAATAGATGACTCTTTTACCCTGATCTAAGAGCATTTACCTTTAATCCAATTGCTTGACTTTGTGACAAAGGCAGCAACTGATGTCAGATCAGCAAAAGAAGGTATAATTTAGATGGCTTTGCTTTGAAAACCCACTGATATGTTTATTTGTGTCTGTTTTATTCAAATAGATGCCATTTTTACACTGACACCAGAACAGTTTACCTTTAATCCAATTGGTTGGTTTTATGACAAAGGCAGCAATACTGTTTGTCAGATCAGCAAAAGAAGGTATATTTTAGATTGCATTGCTTTAAAAACCAACTGGCTTATGTTTGTTTGCATTTGATATCAGAACTTATTCATGTATGACTTGGTCCTTGAATTTTGATTTTAACAAGTTTCACCAGTTTATATAATGAAGCAGCATGGATCATTATCATGTCTATGAGTGGCACAGTTTACTGTATTAACCATATACCATACATTAACATGCTAGTGGACACATTTAGAAGTTAGAGGTTTTAGAAGTAACGGTTTTTAAGTGACCCATTTTTTCATTTATCAGAATCAAATGTTGGAAACTGGATAAAACCAGGGAGCCCCATACCAGTCTCAGCTTATGTGGTTAACCTCTATATGCCAAACATGTGGCATTCATAGTAGCCTGCAAATATCATTTTAAATTTTGTAAAATAACTGTTGGTTTTAAGGGGTCGGTTTTGGCCAGAGTGGTGGTGAGCATTACACGTTTCATTGACTATTACACCCAATACAGCAATAACAAATAAAGCCATAATAAACTATAATTAATGTGCTAAGGCCATTACACATGTGTCTGCCAGACAAGGAAATATCACTAATTTGATGAGAACAGAACCGCAAATGGACAGGTTATGGGCAAGTGGGAATGGTAATGGGTTGGCAGCAGACCCGTATATGTCTATGTACACAAAATTATTTTTAGGTCTTTTTCCAGCTAATGCACATGCACGTTCTAGAGTATTTTTCTATGTTCTAGGCTATGCTTTTGGCTCTTTTAATTCAAAGATGGTACTTCATTTCTGCAGCTGCCTTATTGAGCATTCATTTTGATTTGAGTGGACCGTGATCTCCCTCTTATGTCTCTGATTTCATCCAGTCTCTATAAAGAGTTCTGTGCTGTCATGTAAAATCAGGTCATTTGAAATGAAGTCAGTCGAGAGTGATTTGTTCTCCAGGCCTTTAAGTATCCGCTTTTATAGAAGGAACACTGGACGTATTGTGTTAGAGCGGGTAATGATCATTCAAACCTGGCATTGCGACCACATGAGGATCTCAAGAGGAGATCTGATAAGGATGAATAGACAGATGGATGATAAGGGGAAAGAGCCATTTGGAAGAGTCTCTCTTTCTTATTCTCTAGCTCTTTTCTCTTTCTTTCCATCTAAGCCATTTCCTTGGAGGCTGTTCAGATTTCAGGAAAACACTCTCTTGCGACACTGGAGGCTCCAATTCACTTTTAGGGCCTTTGGCATTCGAGACTGTGAGACCGTTAACCCTGTGAGGGTGTTCCTGCCCTCCATGCACAAAATGGGTTAGGTCATAGTCCTGTATTAAAATAGCTGCTCTGGGTAAAGATACTGTAAGTTGTGTGGACTTACTGGCCCCTAAACAGGAAGAGTCCTTCCAATCGCACAAAGGGCTCGAGCCTGTTGACACAAAGAACACTTCTAGTTTATCTAATCAATGATTTTTGTCAGCTGACTGATTGTGCTTCAAAACTGGCTGG